GAATAGCAAAATGTTACAGCGTTTGCCCCAGGTGCGTTTCACGTGGCGCGCCTTCTTCTTGTGATTGTTGGGATTGGTCATGACCCAGCAGAGCACACGCACCTCCCTCTTCAGCTGATCGGCCAGCGACGTATCATCGTGCAGATGATCATGACTAACCACATGGCGATTGGGTACTGCGTAGTGGTTCAATATATCCGCACCAAAAGATGATTGCTGAGTTACATACGAATCAAAGGGATCAATAGCTGCCGGCGTGCTGAATATATTTATAAGGCAAATGCCTACAGCTATGCCCGCAGTGAAAACTTTTAAGGGATGTCGCACAATAAATTCGCGGTTCAAACACATTTTGTTGCTTAAAACACAATTAATAAAAATCCCACAGATTTACGTATATTATTCACTTCCACATCCCTTGCTAATTAGACTGGTCTTTCAATAAGGATAAGCAGAACCGAGAGCCGAGAACCGAGAACAGAGAGCCGTATACCGAGTGCGTATGTAGAAAGAAAACAACTGGCAGCAGCTGAGGAGTGAGCTTAAAAATGAAGACTTCATTGCTTAGCATAAATTGATAAAGAAAACTTAAGAAATGTAGCTCAGTTATTGTTAAGAGCATAGCTCTATGCACACGTATTTATGGTTAATTGCCTTAGAGAGCCAACATTCCATTCAGATAAAAATAAATACATTATTTAAGTACTTTTCTATTTTAACTTAGACTTGAACAAACTAGTTGACGTGAAAATTAATTACCTAGTTTCACGTCAATTTGTTGGTTTAAAGAAAACATTTCAAACATATAAGAAGTCATTTAAGTTATTCTATCGCCTGCCATTTTCTTTCAGTTTTAGACTTATTATCTTATTTACCGGAAATTTCTTTTAGTTTTGTCTTCCATATACCGTCTTTTTGTCTTCTATACCGACTGATAAGTCAAGAAGTGATTCATTTTCACTTCGCCGGATCAATTAGTTTAATGTATATAAGATATATGCGACGCCCAGCGAATAGAGAGTAAAAACCATATGGTTATTTAACAATGGCAAATCATTTGTTTTCTGTTCTGTTTTCTGTTGATAATGTGACAGGCTGTGAATTTAATTTTATTTCTGCTTAGGTAGCTAACAAGAATGTAAAAGTAAATAAACAAGTTTTAACCACACGGTTATTTTAATCATAGTAATAATACATCAATATTAAATAATAATACTAAATAAACTATGTATATATATAGCATATAACAAAAGAGTAAAAATAAAAAAAAAATATTAATGACTAATAATAATAATAAATAGTAATACTAATAATAAATAAATAAATAATATGTATCTATAAATAATTTATAAATATGTAATGATTTAAAAAAACATGAAATTATTTATAAATTAATATATCTATTTAGAAATCACTATTAAATAAATAAATAAAAATCTACAATAAACTTGTAAATTAATGATATATTTTTTATTTTTAAGACAATTATAAATAAATAAGTAATTAAACATCTACAATTAATAACTATAATAATTAACTAATAATAACTAAATAAATTAAAATTAACATGAACACACAATTAAATTAATTATAAATCGACACTAAAAATGATCAAGATATATATATATATTTCTATATATAATTCATATAAATAATTTACAACATTTAATTTTTAAAAATTTTTTATAACTTACAGTTAAAAATAAATAGAAAATAGCATACTGTTATTTGTATGTATTTATGTATTTATTTTATCATCAAACTATAACTTAAATAATCTTGAAAGATATTATTAAATTAGGGGCAAATTAGTTGATTCTTTTCAAGGAATCAATTTGATATAATGAAAAATCTTTCTATTTTCTGCACAGTTTTTAAACGGTTAAGATCCTATATACCTCATACTGTACATACCATACGAATAAGCTCTCAATATTTTGTTTAAATATGCAGAAAATTAAAAGCTGTAAACCTAACAAGTTTGGATTTTGCGAAAAAATAATTAAAAAAGCTGAAATGTTTTTTTTTTTTTTTTTATTTGTACGAGCTTAAGAGCTAAGCCAGCTAATAAACGTGAAATTAACTAAATAAAAATAAATGTAAATATGTAATATTGTATACACGATCTGAAACACATATATAACAAAGACTAGAGATTCGAGTACATGCTCAGAGGGGCACAAGCACACGACTATTGACCCAGTTGAGCTAATCAAACGTAATGCACGTACGGTAGATAATTAATTGATATCAGCACCAACGCATAGCAGAATGCATTAAAATGAGATTTATAAAAAAGAAGAAATAAATAAACCAAACACCCGAACAAAATACATAAAAATTAAATAAGAAATAAAAGATGCAACAATTGAGCATATTATAAGCAAAAAAAAAAAAAAACGCTGCTGCAGCTGAGCCAAGTGGAACTCAAATGAATCAATTGTCACGTTTTCGCATATTTAATAATACAGTCATGTCTCGAGCATCGCTCCGTTGCACAATTCCCAGATAGATGACACTTGTAATTGAGAGATAGACGAGTGCAGAAGAAGAGACGCTCAATCTTTACAATTCAAAGCAATTTGACGAATATTCATGATTTTATGCATGGAACTACAATCTCTTTCATTTTGCAGAAGATGTAATGCGCTGAGGATATCTATCAACTCCACCCAAGCAACATAACCAAAGAAGCTCCTCGAGCGGCGCCTGTAAACCAAAGACTAAGTGCCTAGAGCATAAAGAGGTTGCCCTTTACAACCTCCAAGTGAGACAAAGCCCATATAAGGACAAGCAATGACTGCCAATAGCCTGCTGGGACGCTCCATACTCAATGAAGGTGAGTTTTAAATAAATCTTAAACTGATCGAGGCATTTTCAACATCTTGAATTTTATGTTTTCATCGCTCTTTAGGACGTTCCAACAAACGTTCGTTAGTCTCACTGATTGTCGGCCTGGTCGTTGGCTTCTGCCTGGCCGAGCTGTTTGTCTACTCATCCACGCCGGAACGTGGCGAGTTTGTGCCCTACGATGGCCATCGGCACGGCGATGTCAACGACGCCCACCACAGTCACGACATGCTCGAGCTGTCCGGCCCCGAACAGGATGTCGGCACGCACGAGCACTCAAACGAGAACACAAGCATTGCCGAGAAACTGCATAGCGAAGTGCGCATTCTCTGCTGGATTATGACGAATCCCTCCAATCACAAGAAGAAGGCGCGCCACGTGAAACGCACCTGGGGCAAGCGATGTAATAAGCTGATCTTCATGAGCTCAGCCAAGGATGAGGAACTGGACTCTGTGGCCCTGCCCATAGGCGAGGGGCGCAACAATCTGTGGGGCAAAACGAAAGAGGCCTTCAAATATATCTACGAGCACCATATCAACGATGCGGACTGGTTCCTCAAGGCTGACGACGATACCTACACGATCGTCGAGAATCTACGCTATATGCTATATCCCTATAGCCCAGA